GCTCTTTTGTAAGTATCAAAATCCAATTTTAAAGTTTAGGGCAGCAAAATCAGCGGGGCCTTCAGAACTGCCTTTTTTACCCTCTGTCTGTTTTAAAGGCTGGGCTTACCGTTGAGTTGAGTAGGGGCTGAAAGCACAACATCAGCATGTGAAAAAAGTTTTCTTTTCTTTTAAAAAGGAACACCGTTGATTGTTACCGTTGGCAAATGCAAGACTTTATAAACAGATGCCCACGGGAACACGGTTTTAGTTATGAATTCACCAGAGGGAAAATAGCATCTAAATATGCAAGATCCAAGACTCTGTAGCATCATCTTTTCTTGGTTTTCGACCGCAAGAGCAGACCCGGAGAAAAATCACATTAATAAGAGAGGACAGCTTGGGTACAGGTTATTTTAAACTCTGTTCATACCTTGAGTGGCAGCCCGGTTCCATAAAAGAAGAGCCAGTGGATAGATCTGGTTCTGGTGGAATATTTTAATCTTTTCTGTAACGAGAATGTGACATTGCTTACCCCGGTGCAGTCCCTGAGTTTCAGAATACAAGCAAGCTGCACGCATGACATTTCCTTTACCAGATTCGATAATGTAGGCCGAATTGATCTGAGCGATCTCATACCCCATTTCGGCAAGGAACAAGTAGTGCACCAGAGACGGATCCGTCTGTCCAGCCTGGTATGAAAAGTACGCTGTCAGGAATTTTTCTGACCATCTTCCTAGCTCGCATACAGTCCTGTAAAGCTGAATGACAAACGGACAGAAAAAAAGGCATGAACGGCACCGGAATTCTGTAGCCCTGCCCTGAATACAAAGATGACTAAAGTAATAACATGCTAATTATTATTATTGTAAAAAGAGAAAGCAGGAGATATTTCAGTTCAGATAGCTAAATATTCAGTTTTTTAAAAAACCCAAACGTCAGTTAGTTTAAAATATGGAGTGGTGAACGTTTATGTTGGATATTATTAGGGTTCCCAGTTCCAGGTTGAGAAGTACCTGGACATTTGGGGGGTGGAGCCTGGAGAGGGTGGGGTTTGGGGAGGGGAGGGGCTTCAGTGGGGTGTAAAGCCATAGAGTCCATCTTCCAAAGCGGCCATTTCCTCCAGTCAAACTGACCTCTGTCACCTGGAGATCAGTTATAATGCCAGGAGATCTCCACCCACTCCACTCTGATTGGCTGATTGTGATAAATAATCACATCAAGCCAGTAATTGTGTGTCCAATAAAAACACTGTGAGTGACTGACTAATTTACATCTGTATGTGGATTGGGGGGGGAATACCATGAAATTACTTTGTCTTCTGGGACAACTGGACTATTGACTCTGTCAGATAACAGTGATATTGCATACAAAGGCATTCTATGTTGGAGCGAGCAACTCAGCATGTCAGGACATGGGAGGGCACTATATCACTCTAAGAGTGATTCCACACTAGACCTTAAATCCTGGTTCAACCCTGTCCCCGAACTTACATTCTAGACTACACTTGAGTTCACCCCTGTAATTATTTCCAGGATTTTTTTACATTCTACACTACATGCAAGTTCACCCCTGTAATTATCTCCGGGGTTTTTTTTACATTCTACACTACATGCGAGTTCACCCCTGTAATTATCTCCGGGGTTTTTTTTTAATTTTCATACATGCGAGTTCACCCATGTAATTATCTCCGGGGTTTTTTTTTACATTCTACACTACATGCGAGTTCACCTCTGTAATTATCTCTGGGGTTTTTTTACATTCTACACTACATGCGAGTTCACCCCTGTAATTATCTCCGAGGTTTTTTTACATTCTACACTACATGCGAGTTCACCCCTGTAATTATCTCCAGGGGTTTTTTTACATTCTACACTACATGCGAGTTTACCCCTGTAATTATCTCCGGGGCTTTTTTTACATTCTACACTACATGCGAGTTCACCCCTGTAATTATCTCCGGGGCTTTTTTTACATTCTATACTACATGCGAGTTCACCCCTGTAATTATCTCCGGGGCTTTTTTTACATTCTACACTATATGAGAGTTCACCCCTGTAATTATCTCGGGGTATTTTTTTGTTTCCACATTACAGGTCACCTCGCTTTCGCCCCACACTTGTCCCGGGATAAACGGATGCTGTTATAACCAAGGATAAATGCAGGGTATTGTGTCTCGAGTTGAACTCTGATAAAACCAGGGATGACTTCCAAGTGCGGAAAGGAACTAAGTGTGCATAAGTGTTATCTCCTTGAATGGGATGTCTCTTTCTTTGTCTTAACCAGGGAGTTGCCCTCTGACCCATCCCCTCTCTCTCTGTGTGTCCTTTCTTCTTCCCATTCTGCACACGGCTTTTCATGGAGTCACACAGGTCTCTCCTGTAGGTACAATGCCCTCATATTCCCATACAGATGAGGCCAGGTTTTGCTGGCCACTTGCGATAGGGAAAGTACTCTTTAGATGAGGCTTCTCTCTCTCCTTTCGACTACCACCTGGATGTGAACTGAATCCACTTGAATAAATGGAAGGCTTCTTTTCAGTTTTGGGAGATTTATTGACTCCACTCAATATCACACTTCTATGACAGGGCAAACTCTGTCACTTCTCTGAATGATGTCACATCGCTCTAGGAATCGCCGGAAAAACCTGTATGGTGTTACCATAAAGTTTGGCAATTTCTGGAACGACGAGGCACCACCTGTTTCCACGGAAGTGACGTCACGGCACACGAGACACTGGCGCCCCCTCAAGCTCCCGCTGGTTGTCGTAAACAGCCTGGCCACCCTAGGTGTACCATTTCTATGAGACTTCAATATTATTACTGTCTATTTAATCCATACCCCGCCCTATCCCACTGCAGCATCGATAGATGTTCTCAAAGTGTTGCCTCCTGCCTGATTTTGATATAAACGTGGTCAACCCAGACTGCACTTTTGGCTGTAGCAGCTAGGTAAATAAGAATTTGCTACTTGCAGTCTGTTGCTGCTATCTTTTTTCTTTTGGTGTTATGTATTGGGCTGGAGCTGCGGTGGCTCAAGTGGTTAAGACACTGAACTGCAGGCTGTGGAAGGTCGGTAGTTCAGAAGTTCGAGACCCCAGTGTGCCGCATGATGGAGTGAGCTCCCGTCTCTAATTCCAGCTCCTGCCAGCCTAGCAGTTCGAAAGCAAGAAATTGCAAGTAGATAAATAGGTACCACTTCGGTGGGAAGGTAACAGAGTTCCGTGTGCCTTGGTGTTTAGTCATGCCGGCCACATGACCACGGAAACGTCTTCGGACAGCGCTGGCTCTTCGGCTTTGAAACGGAGATGAGCACCGCAACCCTAGAATCGGATTCAAATGGCTTTCAAGCAAGGGAACCTTTACCTTTACCTTTATTGGGCTGGAATAGCCCAGGTCTGTCCATAAGAGACGGGCTGAACTTTGAGCTCAGGAACAATAGCGCACCAGCATTCTCGAGGTAACCAATGAGAAAGCAATGTTATGCAAATAGAGGTAACCAATGAGGAGACAATGTTATGTAAACAGCCTATTGTTGGGAATGGGGTGTGTTTGGGTGTGGTTTTTGCATGCTACTTAAACAGGGCAGTTGCCCTGCAGTCTTCAGTCTTGTTCCTGGAATCACTTAATAAAGTAGAGCTGTTCAAGGCAATGTGTCTTGAACCCAGTATTTAATATTTTGGGTTTTGTTGTTGTTTTTTGCATTGTGTGTGTGTGGCGTGTGTGTGTGCCCGTGCCTGGAAGTCCTTTCTCCAGTATTCCATGCCGCAATAAGTGCCGGCGTGATAGCATTTTCTGCATTGCCTGCTTTTTATAGATACGTCATTTAGCGCTATAAACCTGCCATGAAACTATGATGGAGAGAATATGCATATGGGTCGTAGCTTACGTCCAGAGAATTGTGTCACTTCCATTATTCAAAGGCAGCATTGTCCGGATGAACCCTTTAAAAAAAAAATGCAGCTCTCCAAGCTCTAAGAGTAGGTGAATGTCTGAGCGTATTAGAAATTGCCCTGAAAAGCAATCAAGGTGGGACACAGCCATTTTCTCAACAGCATAACAGGGGGTTGTACTAGGTTTCTATAAAGTATCATGTTCTGGCATTGTAGGGTCCCCAACTGTTAGCCTTCCAGGATTCTCTAAATAAAAATGCTCAGAGTCACAGACCATCATGGAGATTTTGTGTGGTAGGTTAAGCTTGGTCAGCTTTATTCAAGGTGATTTATTGCCAGGTACAGAAGAAAAAAATATTTCCCATGGGTTTTTCCCCCCTATTCACTTGATATTCTGGTCTGGAACACATAAGTTAGCCTTTAGGTCATGTATTATAAACATAATACACAAGCTCATTCACCAGAAACAAGACAATCAGTTCAAAGAACAATGATTCACAAATACTCTTGATTGATTAGCATGCCATTGAGCAAGAGGGATACTTCATACTCATCATACCCTATTTACCTATTAACTTCAGCCAGAAGATGCTTCTATTAAAAATTTTAATTAAAGCACAGTTCAAAAGATGAGAAATGCCTTTCCCAGAAGTTTCCGCGCACTTAACCACTACACCAAACTGGTGTATATATATATGAAGTTTCGTGACTAGAACTTACTGTAGTACATGACTCCTAGATGAAGCTGGGCTCTGGAAAATCCTTTCTCAGCTGCTTTTTGAAAGTATTTAAAAGCTTCCGTGTAATTCTGAGAAGTAAATTATTTTTTAGAAAGCGAAGATTTCACCAAACCAGAACCTGGTTCTGTGAAACACTGGTATCTCACGAGTCCCCACGTCTACAGGGGGGGAGGAGATGCTCCCCCTTCAAAGTATTTCCCCTCAATCAGCTTTCCTTAAAAAACAAACAATAATAATAAAATGTATACACTGCCCCATATTAGAAATATGCTAATCCATCAAATCTTAATATAGTAACCTCGCGGGGAGGGCGGGGTAAAAATGTCAAAAATAAATAAATGAATAATGTCATGGATCAGCCGAGCTCAGCAGAGCAAAGGGACACTGAGGACTCCTCTGAAGAAGAGGTGATGGAATACTGTCATATGCAGGGGCCATTTCCTGCAGGAGCGCACAGGAGCGGAGCTCCGGCAGTAAAGAGCCCAGGGGGCGGGCACATGCAACAAGCCCCACCCCCTGCTCCCAGCAGCCCTCAGTCAAAGCAAGAAGCAGCCAGGTAAGCTGCAGAGCCCCCCCCGGAGCCTGAGTGGTGGGTGTTGCCTTCTGACACACGTCCAGTGATGTCAGGGGGTGTGGCCTATGCAAATAAGTTGTGCTAATGAGTTATGCTAATGAGCTCCTGCACCTCTTTTTCTACGAAATGACCCCTGGACTCACATGATTCGTGTCTGAAGCATTTTAATTCAGCATTTGCTAAAATAAACAAAACACTGAAGAAAGTGAGGTAGAGCGAGGTTACTTTCCCTTGAACTTCTGAGCTGTTTCCCTGCTCAGCATGGGGGGGGGGGCGTTGTTACAGATTGACAATGTGCTTACTGTGTGTCGGCAGTCAGGAAATAAAAGTTAATCCCTTGTTTGTTTAACTCTGTGGGCTGTGTGTCTCAGGGACACACCAGTCTATACGTTTTCAGGTTATGAAAAACGGGTGGCCGTGTGTGCATGGAACAGTGTTTGCACCTCCAACCCCAATAACTCTGTGAAGTGTTTGAGTGAGGGCCTATTAATAAAATGGGCTGGGCTACCCTGTCTGTTGATGTCACTGTGAGTGACAGAGAGGACCTGAGAGAGGTGAAGTGCTCATGACCCTCAACAGTAATTGTTTCCACTTATAACAGGGCTGCAAACCTGTGATCGAGTCCCAGTGAACACAGGGCTTTTCCAAATTCTAATTTTCCTTCCTTGTAAGTTCCCGTTTCTGGTGGTGTGTGTGTGTTTCTGTCCTGTACAGAACTGGTTGATTCAATATCATACTGGTTTATGTCTGGCACATCTCCCTGCAGATTTAAATGGCAGGTTTTTATGCTGGACATAAACTGGTGCAATATTGAATCAGCCACTAGAGGGAGCAAAACAAATGCAGAACCGAACCCCCCCCCCCCACCCCCCAAAAAACGGGAGCAAACACGAGAGGTGGGAGATTGGTTTTCTTAGTCAGGATTTAATTCCATCTCTGAATCTTCTGCTGTTGCACTGGTAGCCAAGAGGCAGGGGTTATTTGAAAGACAATGAAAATGTTACTGGAAATATACATTTTCTTGCAAGTGCTTTGTGTTTTTGAACTCTCACGGGATGCCAATTCAGACTTTACATTTTATAAAGCTCATCATTTTCTGGGCTACTGCTTGCAGTGCAGAGAAGGGCTAACGATACTCACCATCTGGACACCTCTGCCACGGAAATAAAGAAGACCCAGTCCACATAATCCAAGAGGGTTGCCCTGAGCGAAATATTGAGAATATTCCTTTTAGGCTTCTCAGTCAATTACCTGAATAAAACCCTTCAAATAATCAGCATTAATGTGTGCGTCTGCATGATTAAGGTCTTATGCACCAGATTTCTGCTTTCCTAACCAGAGAGGAAAATAACCTTCACCTTGGCTCTTCCTTTCTTCCTATGCCTACTCCTGAGTGTAACCTCGGACCTCTCTGCTCTGTGGTTCATTCTGTACTTTGCCCATTTCCTTTTGCCTCCTGCTTGTACAGGTTAAAAAGACAGAGGTATTTTGTTGGGCAGGCTGGCAAGTGTCAAACTCACTGCTCATTTCACAGCTCCTTTGCCATAGTAACTGGGGAGGCGGAGAATGTAGAGCCAACATACTTTTGCTTCCTAGGTTGCTTTGATATGCCAGACACCTTATCACCTCTGAGAACCTTAAGTATCCTTGAGTCTCATCTTTCCATGCTTGCCTTTGTTTTACATGAAAGGGGGATGGCTGGCAGTTACGTTTGGTGGGTGACATCCCAGGAGGCGATTGGTTCTGAACCTTTTGGGGCCCTTGCTTGAACCCTGTATATCTATTGCTTCCGCCGCCTTTAACCATAGTTCTAACACAGCCGGTGTACAGGCTGGATCCTATCAATGTCTCAATAAACCGGACGTTGCTGGTGGAATGAGCTCCCGGAGGAGATCAGGGCCCTGAGGGATCTCTTGCCGTTCCACAGGGGCTGCAAGATGGAGCTCTTCCGCCAAGCCTTCAACTACGGAGCCGCCACCATTATAGAGCCCTGGCCTTTGGTTTTGACATCTAGCCTGTTCCGCAGGAAGATCAAAAGCAGAATGACTGTTAGACCTCTGTGAATAATAAATAAACAAACTTATCATTCTTCAGAGTGAATGTTATTGGGAACTGATTTATCCAGGAGTCTGACAGCAAGTGGCAGGAGAGCTCTGCGGGGGAGGCCGGGCCGGCAATCTCAGGACCTCGCCAGTCAGGTGGTGATACCCCCTTTTGGTGTGACGCAGCAGTAACGTCATCACGTGGGGGCAACACTCTTAACATTCTCCCAAAACTTTCCTAGAGCATCACCCGATGTGATGACATCACTTCCTGGTCACACCGAAAGTGACGTCACGGCATTGCTGGCAATGCCAATCGTTCTTCACGTTCTTCCGCCATTCCCCTCCCACCAGTCAGCTGAGTGGCAGTAAGGAGAGCCATTGGGAGGTAGGATACCTGGGCTCCCTGGGCGATAGAGATACTGACGGACCAAGAGGAGTGTACGACTAGACAAAAACTACTCCCGAAGCCTAGGGACAATAGGGGCTGTAAACAACTGGGGTTAAAAGGGCCAAAAGAATGGTTGAGTGGGGGGGTCAGTCAGATTTTTACATACTTACTTGCAGGGCTTTTTTTGTAGAAAAAGCCCAGCAGGAACTCATTAGCATAATAGGCCACACCCAACGGCATAGACTCATTAGCATATTAGGCCACACCCCCGACAGCACAGCTCTCTCCCAGGATCAGCTTCCCCAGGTGTCCTGCATCTTGCAGGGGGCTTGGGGAACTCAAGGAGGGGAGGCAGTTTAAACTGCCTCCCCTTCCTGGATTGGCTTGGCTTCCCCAGGTGCCCTGTGGCTTGCAAGGTGCCTGGGGAACCCAAGGGGGGGGGGAGGCTGTAGCCATGGCCAACTTGGAAGCCAGCCGGAACTCTGTTCCAGTGCGTTCCTGCCCCAAAATAGCCCTGCTTATTTGAACAAACCAGTTCGTTTGTTGGCCACCATATTCTGGCAGTAGCAGATTTCACCACAGGATGGCGCCTTCAGAAGAGAAGGTTATACTGCAAACGTGATCGGGAACACACGCTTTGACGTTACTTTTGTCACGTCAGACATAAACGGAGCTTAAGTTAACAGGGTGTGCAAAAACATTACTTTAACATGGGGGACGCATGGCGACACTGCGTACGTTTGACCTCTTCTACATTTTGCATAATGGAAAAATATCTAAAAGGAAAACTGTGCGTTGTGTTTTAAGGATATTCCCACTGTCAATATAAGGAGCATCTGGAATTTAAGTATGCCGGGCTCCAGGTGGGACCTGGGGATCCCCCGGAATTACAGCTCATCTCCAGACTACAGAGATCAGTTCCCCTGGAGAACATGGATGCTTTGGAGGGTGGACTCTTTGGCGTTGTACCCCGCTGAGGTCCCTGTACACCCACAATGATAATGCTCGGTTGTCTCCTCAGGATCGGCTATGTCCCTGCCTCCTCCAGTCAAGGGGCTCTCTTGTACATACTCCCTGCAATGTCCGTACGTGCTCCAGTTTAGGCTAAAATGGACTACGCCCTGCCTTGGTCAATGGGCTATGATTACTCGAGCGACATTACAGCAAAAAGTTCATTTACTCTTAGAGGATTCTGATTGTTTTATTGCTTGGTTTTTAGAGGCTGCAGAGAAGTGTCGAAGAGAGGTGTTCTCAGAGATGGGTTTTGTTTAAGTGTTTCGATTTTATTGTCCAAGACCTTGGTCTAAGAACTCCACCCCTCCAGATTTCCAGGAGTTTCCCCAACCTGGATCTGGCAACTGTATGCACCCATCCCCCACCGGTGGCCAAGGGCAACCCGGCAAACCTATTAGAACTAGAGGAGCAGGGGTCATTTCCTGCAGGAGCGCACAGGAGCGGCGCTCCGGCAGTAAAGAGCCCAGGGGGCGGGCACATGCAACAAGCCCCACCCCCTGCTCCCAGCAGCCCTCCGTCAGAGCACGAAGCAGCCAGGTAAGTTGCAGAGCTCCCCCTGGCATATGCAAAAAAAGTTATGCTAATGAGTTATGCTAATGAGCTCCTGCACCTCTTTTTCTACGAAATGACCCCTGTAGAGGAGTAAAGCAAAATGATTGGAATTGACCACCATTTCTAACAAACCTTTTGCAAAGAGAGAAAAGAAAAATAATACCCAAATTCAAATATTTTAGTTGTACTTTCAAAAACAGCAAGGGAGGGAGGGAGACGCCCAATCATCCGATTGTTTGGACCCAACGGCACACAAAAGTGAGTATGGCTTAAGAGAGTTTAAGATAACCCAGCTATATTACATGAAAATGACTCTAGTTTAGTCAAATTCTGTGTATTGTACGAGGAGGGAAAAACACCATTAGAAGAGATAAAATGCTCACAATACCTTATCTGCTGCCGTTCTGAAATACCTCAAGGCAGTCGCATTATCCTGAGCCACTGCAGTGCTTCCTTCTAAATACATCTAGACCGTAATAAAAAAAGGGGGGTGTTTCTTTAGGTAATAGCAGAGACACAGATGAGGGGAAAATATGTATTGACTTTATTACGTTTCTGTCCCACTTTTATGACAATTGTCTCCAAAGTGGGCTCACAGCAGGAGAGACCAGCACTGCTCACTGGCAGAAGAAAGCAACAAACTAAGGCTGAATCTGCATTTGTCTTTCCCACCCGTGTCCCAGCCTCTTGACTCCGTCTGCATTTGGAATCAGGGATGATTCAATCCCAATAGATAACATGACTGTTGTTCATCAAGTGGTCTTCTGTGCAGGCACACATGGGGACTGTGCAGATGCAGGAGGACGAGTCTCCAAAGCGTAGGGGAAGCGCTCCTAGGCTCCAGAATCTTCTGAGCTTTGGAAACTCATCCACCGCGGCAGGCCTGTGCGGTCCCCATGGCAATGAAATATACATATGTGGCTGCCTGGAGAGAACCGGACAGCAGCTATGAACGGCTGCTGACCTGGCTCACTGTACACGTAATCGTGCATGATGGTGTCTCCATTCACTTGGGTATTCAAGCAGGCTGTTGTGTAAAGGAAATTGGAACGGCATTGCTGGACTTCCGGTTTAAGCGTTTTGCCGCTCGGACGCGTCTCGTCTCGCTTAGATGGAGACACGCTGAGACCCGGCTGACGGGAGGGGTTCGAGTTCGTTTAGACGTGTTAGAGCATTTTATTTATTTTCTTTTCACCTACTTCCTGTTATATTTCTGCACCTTGTTGTTTGACCTCCTATAAAATATTTTCATTGTTCACTCTGCCTGGTCCTCACACCTATTATTTGGCCGAAAGGGAGGTCTAAAGGTCTTGGGAGGGTGCTCTGGGCCTTCTCAAGGGAGCCTGGAGCCAGAGTGGTGGCAGCGTCAAATGACACCCCACCTGAGCCGTGACAGTGCCATCAATATGTAACGTGCTTGAACCATGTGCTTGAACCACAGACCCGCGGGATGGTTCTGGCCCCTTCTCTAACGCCTCTACAGCAAACGCAAGACATGAACCCACAAACACGAAGCTACCATATACTGAATCAGACCCGGGGTCCATCAAAGTCAGTATTGTCTACTGAGACTGGCAGTGGCTCTCCGGGGTCTCAGGTGGAGATCTTTCCCATCACCCGCCACCTGATTCTTACTAGAGATGACAAGGGTTGAACCCGGGACCTTCTGCACACCAAGCAGATGCCCTACCACTGAGCCACATCCCCTCCCTTATTTGCATCCGAGAATGGCTTCCGTGTACAAACACCTCTGTCCTAGGAAATGAAGGTATTACGATGGAGCGAGGGTTAAGGTTCTTCAACTATAAAATTAATCCCAAGAAGCAAATATAGGTACCTTTCCCAAGAATGCCATACCATTAGCGTCCCCTGCGTCTGCTGCTTTTAGGAAGTAGTAGAAGGCTTTCTAAAGAAAAGTAGCAAACGAAAAACAAGGTGACGATTGACTTCACATTCCCCCCAATACAGCTTTAAAAGCGATCGGCAACTTTTATTGAAGTCGCGCATGTTCTTCATCGGACCCACGCCGATTCCAGCCGACGCATTTACATCCCGCTTCTCAGAAACGTTTGCATAGGTGAATCTTGACCTTATGTTATTTTTAAAGGCGTCAGAATACATGGAAAAGCAATGTGACAAACAAAACATACATATATTTAACAGAAGCAATATCAGTATCTTTATGGACATAAAAACAGACATTCTGGCATAAATTTCCCCGACAGAAGGGAAGATGCAACTTCTGCCAATTTCCCCTTCTTGCTGCAGTCCCCGTAATTTGCCCCTTGTGCCATTCCTGAGGGTCCCGTGTTCCCCGCCAGCAGCATTTGGGAAAGATCAGCGGGCTGCGGGGGTGGGGGGAGTCTTCCACTAGCAGAGGATTTAATCTGGATGCAGTCTGTTTTCCTGCCCCTTCAGATCTGGATGTATCGTGTCATTGCTTGGGTAAAGAGAAGGACTCATTCAGCTCTGCATGCTCATGGGTGCTTTGGAGTTGAATTCTTTTGAAGAGCACATATGGACGTATGAATCTGCCTTATACTGAATCACAGAATCACAGAGTTAGAAGGGACCTCCAGGGTCATCTAGTCCAACCCCCTGCACAAGGCAGGAGATTCACAAACACTTCCCTCCCCTGCACCCGCAGTGACCGTTGTTCCACAGCTGGAAGACGACCCAAAACCTCCAAGATCCCCGGCCAAACCGGCCTGGAGAAAAATGGCTTCCTGACCCCAAAGTGGCGATCGGCATTTCCCTGGGCGTGTCAGAAAGGGCCACGAGAACTAAGCACTGAGGCGACCTTTCCTGCCTTCCCTTTCACGATCTCCCTAAGGTCACAGGATCCGCACTGCTGTCAGACCCCTGGTCCATCAGAGTCAGCACTGTCTACTCAGACTGGCGGCAGCTCTCCAGGGTCTCAGGCTGAGGTTTTTCACAACCTGCCCCAAACCTACACTGTGGGGAGGGCAGGATAGAAGTCTAATGAAATAAACAAACACCTACTGCCAGGTCCTTACCTGGAGATGCCACAGATTTAACTTGGGGCCTTCTAGGTGCCAAGTAGATGCTCTGCCATTGAGTCGTGGCCCCTCCCTAAGTAAGTTTGTATCTCCCCAGCTCCATTTACACATGTCACATAGCAAAGATATTGCATGAAGTCAAAAATCCCACTGGGTGAGTGCAAACCTTTGGGGTCACCCTGAACAATCAAGGGGGTTTCTGCAAAAGAAGATCTGCCTCACTAACGTTTCATATTTAAGAGCATAAGGAGAGCCCTGATGGATCAGACCAATAGTCCATCTAGTCCAGCATCCTGCCTCACACAGAGGCCAACCAGTTCCTCTGGAAAACCAACAACAGGGCAGAGAGGCTGAGACCTTCCCCCGATGTTGCCTCCTGGCTCTGGGATTCAGAGGATTAATGCCTCTGAATGTGGAGGTTCCATTCAGTCACTGTGGCTAGTAGCCACTGATATACTTATCCTACATGAACCCAGGGGTCATTTCCTGCAGGAGCGCACAGGAGCGGAGCTCTGACAGTAAAGAGCCCAGGGGGCGGGCACATGCAACAAGCCCCACCCCCTGCTCCCAGCAGCCGTCGGTCAGAGCAAGAAGCAGCCAGGTAAATTGCAGAGCTCCCCCCAGCCCAAAACAGTCCAGTGGCACCTTTACGACCAAGTTTTATTCAGGTACAAGCTCTCCCTCCTCTGTGAGGACAGATCTGCACATCCCCCCCCCAATATAGCAATCCAAAACAGTCCAGTGGCACCTTTAAGACCAAGTTTTATTCAGGTACAAGCTCTCCCTCCTCTGTGAGGACAGATCTGCACATTTCCCCCCCCCCCCCCACAATCTAGCAATCCAAAACAGTCCAGTGGCACCTTTAAGACCAAGTTTTATTCAGGTACAAGCTCTCCCTCCTCTGTGAGGACAGATCTGCACATCCCCCCCCCCATAGCTAGCAATCCAAAACAGTTCACTGGCGTCTGAGCAGTGGGTGTTGCCTTCTGACACACTTCCTGTGATGTCAGGGGGAGTGGCATATGCAAATAAGTTATGCTAATGAATTATCCTAATGAGCTCCTGCACCTCTTGTTCTACGAAACGACCCCTGCATGAATCTATCTAATCCCCTGTAAATCTGTTTATTCCTGTGGCCATCACTACATCCTCTGGCAGCAAATCCCACATTTCAATCACTCTCTGCATAAAGTAGTATTTCCTTTGGTCTGCCCTGAACCTACTACCCATCAGCTTCATGGGATGCCCTCAAGTTCCAGTCTTGAGGAAGAGGGAGAAAAAATTATTTTTGTCAACTCTCTCCACCCTGTGCATAAGTTTATAATTCTCTACCATGTCCCCCCTTAGCCGTCTATTTTCTAAACGGAATAGTCCCAGACTCTTCAACCTTTCCTCAGTTCTTCAAAGGTTCTCCAAACTAGGCCTCTTTTGAAAATGAGCTTATGTTTTATTGAGTATACAGGTTTGAATTTGCTTTAGAAACACGGGAGAGGTGTTTGTCATGTTTGGGGAAATGCATAAGGCTAAGGGTGTGATCCAGAATGGTGTGAGTGTGTGCCTCCCCTTTTCACCCTTAGATAAACTTTTTTCCAAAACTGCCTTAGGTAAAGGTTTCCCTTGCTTGAAAGCCAGTTGAATCCAACTCTAGGGGGCAGTGCTCGTCTCCGTTTCCAAGCCGAAGAGCCAGCACTGTCCGAAGACGTTCCCGTGGCCATGTGGCCGGCACGACTTAAACGTCAAGGCGCACCTTCCGACTGAAGCGGTGCCTATTTATCTACTTGCAATTTCTTGCTTTCGAACTGCTAGGTTGGCAGGAGCTGGGGCCAGAGATGGGAACTCACTCCGTCATGCAGCACTCGGGTCTCGAACTGCTGGACTACCAACCTTCCGGTCTGCAGCTCAGCGTCTTAACCTCTGAGCCACCGTGGCCACAAAAGCTGCCTTACAGGACCCCAATGCATTGCTGTTTTTTAAAAGCCATCTGAGGATCTGGCTCATGAGAGTTTGAAAGGGAAAATGAGGAGAAAACAGCATGCACGTCTTGCCAGCATTTTCCTTCAAAATCGCTTAGGCGACAACCTCCTAAATGTGTTTGGAATTCAGGGGAATTTATTTAGCCATTTGCGGAGCCTCTTGGGGCAGATTCTAACAAGGACGTCCACGCAGTCCCTTCCGGATGATAGCACTAATGTTATCTTTGGCAAATTCATTTGGAAACATCCTACTAAAATAAGCAAAACCCATTTCTAAATTTCTAAAGGGGTTTAAGATTAGGACAATACAAGGCTCTTGAGAGTCCCCTGGACTGCAAGGAGATCAAAACAGTCAATCCCAAAAGAAATCAACCCTGACTGCTCCCTGGAAGGCCAGATACTGAAGCTGAAGCTCAAAGACTTTGGCCACCCAATGAGAAGGGAGCACTCGCTGGAGAAGAAGACCCTGATGCTGGGAAAGACTGAAGGTCAAAGAAGAAGAAGGGGACGGCAAAGGATGAGATAGTTAGTGTCATTGATGCAACGAACATGAAGTTGAGCAAACTCCGGAGCACGACGGAAGACAGGAGGGCCTGGCGTGATGTGGTCCATGGGGTCGCGAAGAGTCGGACTCGACTGCGTGACTGAACAACAGCGACAACAACAAAAACAAATGTTCAATGTCTATTTGAATATACTTACAGCATGATCTCTTTTAAGTCCTTTTCTTCCCAAAAGGTGCAGTTGTCCGAGAAACACCTAGAAGCCATTATTTTAAAAGTGATCGTTTTTGTGAATCAAAAGTAAAAAGGTTCTGTGTGAATAACCTCGTAACCACAGGATCAGATTGTTTAAAGTATAACAGGTGTGGTAAATATTGTATCTTCCAAATAATACAACGCAATCAAATACAAGCTTGCTAAAGGCTTCTCTGTAAACCCAGTCTATTATGCGGTTGGCACCAAAAAGAATAAAATGTGGGTATTGCCCGGACCTGGATGGCCCTGGCTTCTCAGCCCTGGTTAGCAGGGGTCATTTCCTGCAGGAGCGCACAGGAGTAGAGCTCCGGCAGTAAAGAGCCCAGGGGGCGGACACATGCGACAAGCAGCCCTCAGTCAGAGCAAGAAGCAGCCAGGTAAGTTGCAGAGCTCCCCCCGCCCCCCCGGTCCAAAACAGTCCAGTGGCACCTTTAAGACCAAGTTTTATTCAGGTACAAGCTCTCCCTCCTCTGTGAGGACAGATCTGCACATTCCCCACCCCCCAATAGCTAGCAATCCAAAACAGTCCAGTGGACCCTGAGTGGTGGGTGTTACCTTCTCACATACTTCCGGTGATGCCAGAGGGTGTGGCATATGCAAATAAGTTATGCTATTGAGTTATGCTAATGAGCTCCAGCACCTCTTTTTCTAAAAATGACCCCTGCTGGTTAGTAAGGATGGGAGACCACCAAGGAAGTCCAGGGTCGCCATGCAGAGGCAGGCAATGGCAAACCACTGCTGGGCTCCTCTTGCCTTGAACACTTTATGTGGTCACCATAAGTCAGCCACAACTTGACAGCACATATAAAAAATGGCTGCATAAAAACATACACTGTTGGAGCCGTGGAGACGCTCTGGAAAAGCTCGGAGAAAACTGGTCCTGACCGTTTGGTGAGCCGGCTGTGCACAGTACTAACTGGCTAGTGACTGAAAGGTCAAAATGGTTCTTCCCATCCTTGGAGTGGTTTTGTGACTTATTTAATATGTATTTTCTTTTTTTTTGTCTTTAATGAGGGGCGAAAAACCATTGAACTTTATGGCCGTGTTCTTGGCATTGTAGGACCTGACGTTTCGCCAGTAGCTGTGACTGGCATCCTCAGAAGTATAACACAGAAAGACGGAGTACTCTCTGTGTCAAGGTGAGAAGAAAAAAATGGTAGGCAGGAAATTTATATCTACTCAGGAAGGTGGGGTATATGGATTGTTTCCTGAGGAGGTTTTCTGTTTCCTGAGGAGGTTTTCTGTTTCCTGAGGAGGTTCTAATCTTATCTGTAGTGCCGTAGTGTATCCAGCTCTGACAGGGCCGGGCATGTCCGGACTTGTCCAGGGACAAAACCTCAAGCTTCGCGCCTAAAGACAATGGGTCAGTAGGATCCTAGCCTGGCCCAATCAGAGGGCTAGGTCCCAGACCGTGAGGCCAATAGGCCTCTCGGTTACTGTAAATAGCCTATCGGGAAGTGGGGTGTGTGTTATGGTGGTGGGTTCTGAGGGAATATAAGCCGGCCTGTGAGCCGGCCAAGGTGTCTTGTTCCTGACTGAATAAAGTATGCTTAGCTGAATCACTCTCCGTCTGCATACTTTTCAAGTGCTATTGTCAGAAATTTATTTATTTATTTATTAAATTTCTACCTTGCCCTCCCACCGAGGCGGTTCACGCGGCTTACAAGCAATTTAAAACCAACATTCGGTTAAAACCAACAATTACAAAATATAAAACACAGTTCCATAAAATCCCAGCTAATACACCCTCTGATAAAGTGCTAGTGCGACACCACTGGCGTAATCGGTTCTCATTGGAACGCCTGGCGAAACAGCTCCGTTTTAACGGCTCTACGGAACTGCTGGAGGTCCCGTAGAGCTCTGATCTCATGAGGGAGCTCGTTCCACAGCCTTGGCGCCGGCAGGGAGAACGCCCTGGTCCTAGTTGCCACTAACCTGGCATCCCTAGGCCCAGGGGGGGCCAGACGGTTTTGCGTTCCCGATCGCTAGGCTTCCCAAGTCCCCCCAGGGGGTGGGGAAACCCCCGCCCCAGAGGCCCGTTCCCCGCCGGCGGCAGATCGGGCCCCGGGGGAACCCCACCCCGACGTGCGTGTCACTCGGAAGTGATGTGACCACGCCGGGCACGCTGTGGGCGAGGCCACGGTCATCCGAGGGAAAACTCTATGGTTTTCCCTCGGATGGTCATGGCCCCGCCCCCAGCATGCCCGGTGTTGTCACGTCACTTCCGCACACTCCAGATGCCGGACGGGAGTCCCCCGGTAAGGAGATATGGCAACCCTACTCATTGCAGTGCTCTTGGGGAAACATACGGGGAAAGGCGGTCCCTCAGGTAGGCAGGCCCCCAGCCATTTAGGGCTTTAAAGGTAAAACCCAGCATTTTGAAGCGAATCCGGAACGCTACTGGAAGCCAGTGCCATGACTTCAGCACAGGCTGGATGTGCTCCCACCTGGGGAGGCCCATCAACAGCCTGGCTGCCGCATTTTGCACCAGCTGCAGCTTCCGGAGTTGCCCCAAGGGCAGCCCCATGTAGAGAGCATTGCAATAGTCTAGCCTCGAAGTGATCATAGCGTGGATCACTGCAGCCAGATCATTGCGCTCGAGGAAGGGGACCAACTGCCTAATCAGCCGAAGATGGTAAAAGGCTGCCTTGGCAGTGGCTGCTACCTGGGCATCCATTGTCAGGGAGGCATCCAGGAGCACTCCCAAACTCCGGACCCTCGGCGCTGGCACCAACGGTACCCCCCCCCAAAGGCCGGAAGTGGGGCCCCTAACCCCGGGCCGCTCCAATTTAGGCACAGGACCTCCGTCTTCGTCAGATTCAAATTCAACCGACAGAAGGCGCTCCATCTTTCTGTGTTATACCTCTGAGGGTGCCAAGACCACCGCCATACAACCCAAAAAATCTGAAACAGCGAATCCTAAGGAAAGTTACACCCTACTAAGTTCACTGACGTTAGTGCTGTTGGCAGAGTTTAAATATGCAAAGAAGTAGAGCACTGACTGTTGAGAGGGGAAAAATGAGTAGGTTTATTAAAGAAGAACAAACTGTTCTAGAACACAGAAGAGAGAGAACCTTAACTGCCCAACCTGACTGCTGCGAGAGGTACAACAAACAACAGGAAGCCCTGCAGGAGCAGGAAGTCTCCAGAAGAGCCAATCAGGAGACAGCAAGGACACAATTGGAAATTACGGGCAGTCCCTCATCTTGCTGTGCTAACTACCAGTCCTCCCGGTGTTCCCCCTGTAGGGCGATTGGCATATCTTCTTGATAAGACTGCACTATAGACATTGCAGATTCCAACAAGTTCGGCTTACACCGTTGCACTGTAAATGTACACACAATGATTTAAAACGTGTGGGCAGGGGCTAGACTTCATTTAATTAGTGTTAGATTTACTGGTAAGCCATCAGTGAAATAAAATCTAAAGGAGGGGCAAACCGGGCTCAGCATATATGATCATCCTCCCTGCTGCAATAATTATCGAGTCAATGTACAATTACGGTTGCCAGCTCCAGACTGGGAAATTGCTGGAGATTTCAGGGTGGTACCTGAAGAAGGCAGAGTTTGGGGAGGGAAGGGCGATCCAACGGGGCCCTCCAAAGCTGCCATTTTCTCCAAAGATCCAAATACAAAAGAAAAAGCAAGCTGCACACAAGCATGATACAAAATCAATGCTCAGAAAACATGGGGAAAAAGCTTTATAGTGCTGATGTCAAACCATGTATAAATGACAACGATACAAAGAAGAAGGAAGGGAGGTCCAAAAAAGGGAGGCTGACGAAGTTTTCCGGAATACAAGTTCATTTTGAGTGGCTTCATCTGAACAGGACCTCATGGAACACGCAATAAGATGCCTTCTAAGTTGGCTTTGATAGTGAAGATCATAGGTCTTCACAAAATTCTCATCATATGCTTTAGTGCCCTATTCTACAGTTGCAGTGACATATTCCTTCCTGAATGTCTCTTTGGAATATTTCACTGCAACTGTAGAATATGGCACTAAAGCATATGATGAGAGTTTTGTGAAGTCCTATGATCTTCGCTATCATAGCCAACTTAGAAGGCGTCTTATTGCATGTTTCACGAGGTCCTGTTCAGATGAAGCCACTCAAAACGAACTTGTATTCCGGAAAACTTCGTCAGCCTCCCCTTTTTTTGAACTCTCTTCCTTCTTCTTTGTATCCTGGGGATCTGGCGACCCCAACTAATGCCGTACACACTGTTATTTGACAACACTCTAGAATGTAAGAAGAGACAGTCTGGCAACAGATTAAATATTGCTACCCAGAAACGTTTGGACAGGAACTGCATTCTCTTAGAGCACCGTGTACGTTTGATGGCTTGGCGGTTGAAAGCCCTGACCCTAGAGTCAAATCTGTGCCGTCAAACTCTTGCGTTCCGTAGCGATTGACGTGCAATTCTGATTTAATGCCCAAGGGTGTTTTTCTCATGTCTTAACCTTCCCTTGTCGGGCTCTCTCAGCACACGTACACCTCTGTACCTAATCCAGTCGTCGCCAACGTAAGTCAACGTAACTTACTTGTATCTGTGTGTCTCCTCTTTCAGCCAAAAACCTGTAGTATTGATAAACATCCCAGTCCAGGAATTCTGTATTAGAACTCTGATTTTCTGGCTTTTCCATCAGCCTCACTTTTTCTACAGGCAAGTCTTCGTTTTTCTCTAATTGTTTAGCAACTGTGAATCAAAAGGACCAAACTATGTCAATGGAACAAGCACTGTCTAGGAGGTATACAAATCTGAGTCGTCTATTCCAGGATATGGGTGGACCAAAAAGGATTGTCAGAGAAGGTTTGTCATCCTGAACTTTAGGATTTTCGGCTGGCATAATGTCTTTCTCGGGGTAGGATAATAGTTTGCAAAGAAGCGTTCATCACTGTTAGTCCATCATAACCTGAGTGACCCTTGTGACTGGGGACTTTCCCACATTTCTCATTTTCCTCGCTTGTGTGCTCCTGTTGCTTCTGGGTTTTTCCCTGTTCTGCTCATGTTTTGCTCCCTCTAGTGGTCGATTCGATACTACACCGCTTTTTGTCCAACATACACCTGCAGATTAAAACTATGCCGGACATAAAGTGGTGTAATATTGAATCGACCACTAGAGGGAGCAAAACTGTTGCTGGGGGGGGGCAACAGTGGGAGGGCTTCTAGTGTCCTGGCCCCATTCGTGGACCTCCTGATGGCACCTGGTATTTTTGGGCACTGTGTGACAACAGTGTTGGACTGGATGGGCCATTGGCCTGATCCAGCATTGGCTTCTCTTATGTTCTTATGTATGAGCACTAGAGGGAACAAAACATGTGCAGAACAGACCCCCCCCCCAAAGCAACAGGAACACACAAGTGAGGAAAATGAGAATACAGAAAAGCCCTGGATTTTAGGACTTAAACATAACAACGTAAGAGAAGACAATGATGGATCAGGCTAATGGCCCATCTAATCCAACACTCTGTCAGAGAGTGGCCAGAAATACCAGGTGCCATCAGAAGGTCCAGCAGTGTGGCCAGGACACTAGAAGCCCTCCCACTGTTCCCCCCCCCCCAAGCACCAAGAATACAGAGAGCATCACTTGCCCCAGACTGAGAGTTCCTATCTATACCTTGGGGCTAATAGTCACTGATGGACCTCTGCTCCATATGCTTATCTAATTCCCTCTTATAAGAACATAAGAGAAGCCAATGTTGGATCAGGCCAATGGCCCATCTAGTCCAACACTCTGTCACACAGTGGCCAAAAATACCAGGTGCCCTCAGGAGGTCCACCAGTGGGGCCAGGACACTAGAAGCCCTCCCACTGTTGCCCCCCCAAGCACCAAGGATACAGTGCATCACTTGCCCCAGCCTTCTCAGCATTCCTAATGGGTTCCTGTGGAGTCATCCTCTTTGCCTGTTTTCATTGTGGAACTTAATTCCGAAGTACTTCAGTCATTTGAAACCAGGGAAAAGGCACGGTAAATAACCACTTACTGAAACGTGCAACTTTCCTGTAGTTGATAAGTGCTGCCTCACAGTTCCTTGGAACATTGATTCCTAGCCAGAACCGATAACCCTGAGAGGGAAAAATAGTCATGATGATTTAAATTTAGATAATTCAGGAATTTAGAATTGGAAACAGAAAAACTGTGTTTTACAAACCAAGATAGTCTTGGATATCAGATTTCCTCCAATACTCGCAAAGGTGTAGTATAAAAGTGCCTAGGGACAATGAAAGAAAATGTACTGCTAGGGATCAAGAAACAAGCTATTTCAATGACAATTTGGTAGAATTAGCTTAGAGTTTCATTACCTTTGCTTGATTATGTTCCACTCCTATCCCGTATGACAGCAAAAATCCTAAAGCCTGTGGGAACAAAAGAAAGCAAACATTCAACCTATTCCTTCTACTTTTTGACCATTTATTTTGTTTTCAGGAATACATTGACATTATTCTCTGATGATTTTATCAAGTTGGTTCTATTTAGCAAATATTTTGTCTGTGCATACACAAGGCATGCGGAAAGCCAGTATTTATTATCTGCGGCAGCATGGTGGAATCTGATTGCCCAGACATGGTGAATAATAGATATCACCACATGAGGAGTAGATGGAAGAGAAATATCCCACCAGAGAATCCAAGGTGGTAAAATTGCTAGGGATGGGCACGAACCAAACAATTCCGGTTCGGAATCCCAAGCCGAACCCCAAACCAAGCAAAAAAATGCCCCAAACTGAACTGGCCAGTTCAGATCCCCCTTCCTTCCGGCTGCGGCGCCTGTCAGCTGTTAGGCTGAAATGGCTGTGAGCCATTGCACTGGTTCATTTTGCTTCCCCCAACTTCAGACTTCACAGCCATTTCAGCCTAACAGCAGGGTGGGTGCACCCATCAGCTGTGAGGCTGAAATGGTTGCAAGACACTTCACCAGTCTGTTTGGAAGCGGGGGGGGGGAACCGACCAGTGATATAGGCTCACAGCTATTTCAGCCTAACAGTTGGGCAGATGTGCCCGCAGCTGAACAGCTGACGGCTACATTTCACTGGTCCGTTTCACTTCCTCCCACTTGGAAGCAGGTGAAATGCCTCGCGGCCATTTCAATCTAGCATTGGGCGGGTCCACCCATCAGCTGGTAGCCATTTAAACCTAACAGGTCAGCCATGGACCCACGCTGCTCAGCTGTTAGGTTTAAATGGCCTGAACAGCTGAACTGCACTGGAGAAAAGTCTGGTAAATATTCTGGGGCTCTGAACAGGGCCAAGTTCATGCCGTATTTTGGCTCGTAAACCAGTTTGTGCCCATCCCTAAATATCACCTTGTGAAACTTCTACCACACCCAGGCGTATGTTTTTGTTTTACTCCCACAGGTAAATTCAGGAAGCTACATTTGCTTCAGAGGAGACCACCTCTACGTGGACATTTAAATTCTGGAAGAATCTAAACTGTGAACCAGTGTGGTGTAATGGTTAGAGTGCCAGACTAGGACACACCTGAGTTCGAATCCTCATTTTGCCATGAATTAGGTAGTCATTACACCTTCATCTCACCTATGCCATAGAATTTTTGTGAGAATAAAATGGGAGGGGGGAATCCTCCTTGGTGGAAAGGCAAGAAAGAAATCGAACGAATATGAAGTAAATTTCTCTGCTATCCCTCTTTGGGTGATGCGGACCCTGAGCATGTACTCATGTGGCAAATGGGCTGTGACTAAGGCAAGTAAAATAAGGATATTCCTTAGTCAGAAGAAATCATTGTGCCGCCATTAGTATATTAAAAGCTGTCAACCTAGACAAGCACAGGTATTTTTAAGAGGAGGTTATGACAACTATGACTGTAAAATACCTCCAAATGTTCAAGTTCAGCTCATAACATTTATTGACAGCACGTTAATGTAAATATAGGATTTTCACAGTTTAAAGCGTCCTGTATACTTCCCCCCCCCCATGGTGTTGCATCGCCTTGTCCAGTGCCATTTTCCTAAAAGCAGATTTCGAGAAATAGAGAAGAAATTGGATTTATACCCTGCCCTTCGCTAACCGGACGAGCCTCAGAGTGGCTTACAAACTCCTTTCCCTTCCCCTCTCCTCCCCTCCCCGCAACAGACACCCCGTGAGGCAGGTGCGGGCTGAGAGAGCTCTGAGAGAACGGCCCTGAACAGAACAGCTCTGAGAGAACTTGTGACTGACCCAAGGTCACACCAGCAGCTGCACGTGGCGACGTGGGGACTCAGACCCGGTTCTCCCAGATTAGAGTCCGCTCTCATAATCACTACACCAGACTGGCTCTCTCAAGCAGCGAGGTGGGCCTTCTTAGGGTGGAGGCAATTTAGAGATACAAGCAGAGGACATGAACCCATGAAGCGGCCTCATACTGAGTGACACCACTGGTCCATTGAGGTCAGTACTCTCTCTTCAAACTGGCAGCTGCTCTCCGGGGTCTTGGGCTGAGGTCGTTCACATCACCCATGCCTGCTACATGATCCTTTCAACTGGAGATACTGGGGACTGAACCTGGGACCTTCCGCATGCCAAGCAGATGGTTTACCACCAGGCCACACTGGCCACCCCCAGTTTGGTGTAGTGGTTAAGTGCGCGGACTCTAATCAGGGAGAACCGGGTTTGATTCCCCACTCCTCCACTTGCAGCTGCTGGATGACCTTGGGCAAGCCTTAGTTCTGACAAGAGCTGTCCTTGAAAAAGAGCCATTTCTGTCAGAGCTCTCTCAGCCCCACCTCCCTCACAGGGTGTCTGTTGTGGGGAGGGGGAGGGAAAGGAGTTTGTAAGCCGCTCTGAGACTCCTTTGGGTAGTGAAGGGCCGGGTATAAATCCAATCTCTTCTTCTTCGAAGAAAGGGAACAAACAAAATTCAGAACGAATATCTGAGCAGAGTATCCTTAAAGAAATCATTTCCCCGAGGTTGTCACATTGTTCACGTTTTCAAAAGGTGACACGTATATATATGTGGTATGGATGTTTTCAAGTTAGGTTAGGACAACGTGACAGGATATTATGTGAAAACACGAGCCTTCACGTATTCCTGTTCACAATTTTTTTGTGGCGGAATATATATTAAAGGTATTAAGAGCAAAATGAACCTGACAGATAGACCGTGATGTTCTATGTATATATGTTTCTGGAGGGAGACATGTACTTTCATCTTTATTACCAAGGAACCTAGATTTACGCTGCCATCTTAAGCAGAATTATGCCCTTCTAAATCCCTGGGAGGCTATGGCTTAAGAAAGCTGCAACTCTGTTTAGGACGGCGCCGTTGTTCTAGCAGTCCAATGCTCAAGTTTAGTAAGATATCGAATAATCGAGTACCCTGTCGCAGATAACAAGAGAAAGTGGAAAAGTGGCGGTTGTATTTTATTCTGCGTGAATTAAATAACTAAAGCTTATATAAAATACTTTCCGCAATGATTAACAGGACAGTTTCTGATAGGATATTGTCTACAGTGCTACAAGTTTAACCAGAGATGGCCAACTTCTCTTGTAAATGGGGGGCGGGGGGGCAGGTTTATTTCCCAGACAATGATCCAAAGTATATTTTGCTACACAAATTCACCCCTTTAGTGCTCCAGCAGTTGTGGGCATCTGGCTAGGGTTGCCAACTTCCAGGTGGGAGCTGGAGATCTCTCACTATTACAAGTGATGTCCAGGCGACACACAGATCAGTTCCCCTGGAGAAAATGGCTGCTTTGGAAGGCGGACTTTATGGCATTACACCCCACTGAGGTCCCTCCCCTCCCCAAACCCCACCCTCCTCAGAACCCACCCAAAAAACCTCCAGGTATTTTCCAACCTGGACCTGGCAACCCTAAGGTCTCACAGTTATGAAGTTTAATATAATTATTACTTATCTGTCTCAATCAAAAAGAGGCTCTTCCACTGAGCCACAGCCCCTCTTTACAGCTCTCCAGGGTCTCAGGCGGAGGTCTTTCCCATCACCTCCTGCCTGGTCTTCTTAACTGGAGATGCCGGGGATTGAACCTGGGACCTTCTGCCTGCCAAGCAGAGGCTCTTCCACTGAGCCACAGCCCCTCTTTACAGCTCTCCAGGGTCTCAGGCGGAGGTCTTTCCCATCACCTCCTGCCTGGTCTTCTTAACTGGAGATGCCGGGGATTGAACCTGGGACCTTCTGCCTGCCAAGCAGAGGCTCTTCCACTGAGCCACAGCCCCTCTTTACAGCTCTCCAGGGTCTCAGGCGGAGGTCTTTCCCATCACCTCCTGCCTGGTCTTCTTAACTGGAGATGCCGGGGATTGAACCTGGGACCTTCTGCCTGCCAAGCAGAGGCTCTTCCACTGAGCCACAGCCCCTCTTTACAGCTCTCCAGGGTCTCAGGCGGAGGTCTTTCCCATCACCTCCTGCCTGGTCCTTTTCAACTGGAGATGCTGCCGGGGATTCAACCTGGGACCTCCTGCCTGCCAAGCAGATGCTCTTCCACTGAGTCATGGCACCGCCCCCAGAGGAGAAGGAAGAATCAGTCAGTTCAGATTTCATTCCCCACTCCCCCCAAAAATTATATAAATATTTATAATCTATACAAGACGTTTGAAAATATCTTCCATTCTAAATTTAAAATGAAATCTTGACTCCATGGAAACTATTTCCCACATTCACAGCATCCTCACTGGAATAAAGACGGGAGCCTTGACCTGAAATCCACAGGCAGTTCAAGGCATTTTGTCACTCCGAGCTAGGTACACTCATCCTGCCCCCCTCCCTCACCGGGCCTGTTCTACCGCCGGCTGGATCCAAGCCAAACCACTGCAGCAACAGCGGGCGGTGTGGGTCCAAGAGAGGAATGCTCCCTCTAAGCTGTGGAGTCTTGTGAGCAAAAACTCTACTTGGTGAGCTACTGGCATTCAAGTTGTGAGCGAGCGATTTGGCTGCTGCATAAATTAGTTTGCTCTGGAGCCCTCCTTCCTGAGCTAAGACAGAAATGTATGAGCCGGAGGCTAAAAAACTGAGCTAGCTCACACTAACTCAGCTTAGAGGGCACACTGCTCTGGAGCCATCCTTCCTGAGCTAAGACAGAAATGTGTGAGCCAGAGGCTAAAAAATCATGAGCTAACTCACACTAACTCAGCTGAGAGGGAACACTGCTCCGGAGCCATCCTTCCTGAGCTAAGACAGAAATGTATGAGCCGGAGGCTAAAAAACTGTGAGCTAACTCACACTAACTCAGCTGAGAGGGAACACTGCTCCGGAGCCATCCTTCCTGAGCTAAGACAGAAATGTATGAGCCGGAGGCTAAAAAACTGTGAGCTAACTCACACTAACTCAGCTTAGAGGGAACACCAAACTCCTCCCATACTGCTGGTGGCTGGAAATGCGCCATGCCCCTGTGATCCATCAGTAGCCCCCTCACTTGAACCTCCTCGACTTGGACAGATAACCAGCCCTGCTCAAATTTCATTTGTCAAGGAGTTTTCAGAGGTGCTTCCTGAATAAACCCAATGATCCTCTTTAAGTTGTGCAGTCTGACGAATCGTTACCTTTGTGTCCCCCGCCTTGTCGACACTTCTGGGTTCGAAACAAACCAATGTTGTACTCCTTTTTCAAACGTTTATGTACTTTTATGTAGAAGAGCTAACTGAAGAAGACTTACGGTCTGGCCCTTATGAGACCCCCCTTCCGCTAAGATCTCGTACAACGACACGGCGGCTTTTATATTCTGAGGACCGTTGTAGCCGAACAGCATATTGGCGGCCAGTTTCTCCATCGCCTTCTGGTTCCCCATCTCTGCCGCCTTGGCGAGGAGCTTGTAGGCTCTGGTTTAGAGACACAAAACTCAGAATTAATCAGCCAGATACACAGAAGTTACACATAAGTGTATTCAGGGGTCATTTCCTGCAGGAGCGCACAGGAGCGGAGCTCTGGCAGTAAAGAGCCCAGGGGGCGGGAACATGCAACAAGCCCCACCCCCTGCTCCCAGCAGCCCTCAGTCAGAGCAAGAAGCAGCCAGGTAAGTTGCAGAGCTCCCCCCCCCAGCCCTCCGGTCCAAAACAGTCCAGTGGCACCTTTAAGACAAAGTTTTGTTCAGGTACAAGCTCTTCCTCCTCTGCGAGGACAGATCTGCACATCCCCCCCCCCCGATAGCTAGCAATCCAAACACCCAAGCCTGAGCAGTGGGTGTTGCCTTCTGACACCCTTCTGGTGATGTCAGGGGGTGTGGCATATGCAAGTAAGTTATGCTAATGAGCTCCTGCACCTCTTTTTCTATGAAATGACCCCTGATCGTATTTGTGGCTGGAATAGCATTTTAGAGCTGTTGATTGCATTAATGGCATTGCCTTCGGCACTGAAAAGACTCTCAGCACAGAATGGCTTTGGGGAGCCATCGTGGTGTGGCGGTTAGAGTTTTGAGCTAGGATCGGGAGAACCAGGTTCGAATCCCCATCTCTACTGTGGAAGCTTGCTGGATGACCTCGGGCCAGTCACACACTCTCGGCCTAACCTACCTCACAGGGTTGTTGTGAGGATAAAACTGATGAGAGGAGAATGATGTGAGCTACCTTGGGCCTTCATCTTCTTTCTCAAGATGGGCATAAATGAAGTAAATAAATAAACAGAGGAAGAAGAGGAGGAGGAGGAGATTGGATTTGTACTCCACCCTTCACTTGGAGTCTCAGAGCGGCTTACAATCTCCTTTCCCTTCCCCTCCTCACAACAGACACCCTGTGAGGTGGGTGGGGCTGAGAGAGCTCTCTCTAGGACTGCTCCAGAGAGAACAGCTCTGGGAGAACTTGTGACTGACCCAAGGTTACACCAGCAGCTGCACGTGGAGGCGTGGGGAATCCAACCCGGTGCCCCCAGATTAGAGTCCGTGCTCCTAACCACTACACCAAACTGGCTCTATGACTAAGAAGACACATCCAAACCGAGTTCAGAATGAAACAGCTGTGATTTGGGTCAGGAAACCAATGGGATTCAGTCAAAGATAAAACAGACGTCTGCTGGTACCTTAAATATTTACTCCAACATGCATTTGCGTGACCCGGAGATCACTGCTTCAGATGTATATTGGAAGGAAATCATTGTACACACTTTTATAAGGGGAAATTACAGAAGTGGGGGAGAAGGGAGAGTTGGGTTAGTTAGAGGCTTGGTGTGGATCCGGTCATAAACATTTCAGGCGCAATGCTCCATGAAAGGGACCAGGACGGATCAGGTTGTTACACAAAACAGACGATGAGAAGGGGACAGAGGTAAAGAGACTTAGTACATTTCAGAGGACGCGTGGCTTGCCACTGACCGGTGCTGCCTCCCTGGTAACTTTTGGGGTGCTTTCACACACACTAAATAACGCACTTTCAATCAGCTTTCAAAGCACTTTGCAACTGGATTTTACTGTGGGAAATGGCTATAAAATCCACTTGCAAACCGTCACTGAAGTGGACCGAAACGGCATTATTTGGCATGTGTGGAAAGCACCCTCGGTTTGAGTAAAAGAAGAAGTGCACCATCCCAGCCAGTGTTTCCGCGTCCCATTCCAAGTCCCTGACTGCTGGGCTCTTTTCACACCAAAGATTTGCCACGTTTCAGCCACCCAACTCTGGTATTCACATGACTTGTCACCAATGTTCCCTCTAAGCTTTGGGGTCTTGTGAGCCAAAATTCTACTTTGTGAGCTACTGGCATTAAAGTTGTGAGCGAGGGATTTGGCTGCTGCGTAAATTAGTTTGCTCTGGGGCCATCGTGCCTGAGCTGAGTCAAAAATGTGTGAGCTGGAGGCTTAAGAACTGTGCGCTAGCTCACACTGACTCAGCTGAGAGGGAACACTGCTTGTCACGTACAGATCTTTAGCAGCCCGTTCCTTACACACACACACACACACACACACACACCAAAATAGATTTTATTTCAAACTTATTTTAAAAACCAGTGTTCCCAGGCAGGAGCTATGAGCCCAAGCCGTTTCTTCTCTCTGAAGGGGAAACGGTGCAATTGCAGATCTTCAGTGAAGTGCCAGTCCATTACACGTTTCGTGGCTGAGTGCCTGCAAAGAGCCGGTCCCTTGCAGCAATTGCAGAAAGGAGTGTAAAAGAAGAGCACCAGCCCCACCTTAGCCTGACTTTTGGGTGGGGTGAGGGGTTCATCTGGAGGTGCCTTTGCAAATACATGGAGGTTTTTAAGAGTTTATTTTTAAAAGTATTGTGTTATTCCAATGCAGAGTCATCCATGCTTCTAAATAAAAAGAAATAAAAACAAAACAGGGTGGGCAAAGAATCTTGAGGGTCATGTTAGGTTGGGGGGAAGCGTCAACGCTCTTCAGGCGTGACAAGGCCCCGTAGGATTAGGATTTCAGGGGCACAGTGGGCTGCAAGCAGTAGGGGGAGAGGCAAGGAAGTCACACTCCGGGGCCAGAAATCCTTCCATCCGCAGAAGCGTTCTGGTGGATCCAAGCCAATGGCCGGCTGTTGGGCTGTTCACTCTCCAATGTCCGTCCCACAACCACGGAAATCCCTTTCACTTGAGATCACCAAAGACTTAGCCTCAGCATCTTCCAGATGCATTGCAAAACATTTTTATTCAAGTCGGCCCCTTTCTGCTCCATCTCCTTCAAAATCCGATGTTTGGTGAGTCTTGACCAGTGCTCCCTCTAAGCTAAGTTAGTGTGAGCTAACTCACAGTTTTTTCAGCTTCCGGCTTACACAGTTTTGTCTTAGCTCAGGAAGGATGGCTCCGGGGCAAACTAATTTGTTCACCATCCGAAGCGCTCACTCAAAACTTCAATGCCAGCAGCTCACAAAGTAGAATTTTTGCTCACAAGACTCCACAGCTTAGAGGGAGCATTGGTGGCAACCAACTAAGCTGTGGAGTCTTGTGAGCAAATATTTTACTTTGTGAGGTGCTGGCATTGAAGTTATGAGCAAGCGGTTTGGCTGCTGCATGAATTAGTTTGTTCTGGAGCCCCATCCTTCCCGAGCGGAAACAAAAATGTGTGAGCCGGAGGCTAAAAGACTGTGGGGTGGCTCACACTCACTCAGCTCAGAGGGAACACTGCCCCCAAGTAGCACACCAGGTGCTCCCCAGAGGGGAATGCCTTTTCAGATCACAAGATAGCCAGTTCTCTGTACGTGTTCCCCCCCATTCCTCCTCACACCACCAGTCTTCGCTAACAGAGCTTCTTTATCTGTGCCAAGGGGGACTCTTCTCGGCTTCCTTCAAGGATGGACTCTGTTATCCCAGGTCCTGGGAATGGTATTATTTGGTATAACAAAACTATTTGTGACGCTGTCTTGGCGTGCACTACCTTGAAGCTTATCCGGATGAAATTTAAAAGGGTGCCAGGGGCCCCATGTTTCGGTCCCCCCCTGTACTATTAATCCCCATAGTCACCTGTCAAGGCACGAGCGAGGTTTGCCACGATAATCTATGAAACACAAATATGGAGAGGCCTTTACGTGCTATACCAGGGGTGTCAAACATGTGGCCCGGGGCTGGATCGGGCCCCCGGAGGGGCTTCCACCAAGCCCACAGTGGAACTGGCCGTCTCCTGCTTCCAGTTCTTCTGCTGCTGCTGCTGCATCATCGCTTGCTTCGCCAGACTCTCTCTCTTTTTTAAATTGCATTTTATTGAGTTTTATATATTTTTACATCCTGTATTACTTGTTAGTTGTATACAGTATCTTTCAACAGCATCTAATAAACAAGAAGAGAAATGTTCTCCATACGTACTGTAAACACAAAGTCTCTATATTTAATCGCTCAGCCGTTTCATGTTTTAACCTGGGTCCTAGACTCAGAACTCTGAGCGTGAGATTTCTGTGGTGAATGTCAATAAATCAAAAATAGGTTTGCAGCTTACAGAGCTAATGTTTTAAGCGTGTTTTTATTTTAAGTAAAAAAAAAACTGCTTTGTGTTTGTGTCCTTTATAAAGTTTATATCTCTGCTACGTGGCATTACATTTTATGACGCACATGGCCCGGCCGACAAGGTCTCATTTCAAAACCTAACTTGAAAGGTTTTGAAGCTGAATGCCATCTTGTTAAATTATTGTTAATGACACCTGGTTTGTATTGGTTAGCACCTTTTAATACTGTACTGTTTTATTGGTTTGTGATTTTATGATTAGTATATTATTTATTGTTGTTTTAAATTTCTGGAAGCCACCCTGAGCTGGCTATTGCTGGGAGGGTATAAGTTAAATAAACAAAGAAATAAATATGTCAGATCCGGCCCTCATAGCTAATGAGTTTGACACCCCTGTGCTATACGTTCACCTCTACTTATCTATGCTTCCTCTGAGGCTGTGCCCGCCACACCGGTGAGCAGACACTTACTCGTCCTTATCTTTGTCGCTTTTCAAGTGTTTCAATATTTCGAGGCTCCTCTTAAAAAACTGCTGACTTTTGTCCTTTTTCGCAGCTTGCTCCTGTGCTAGAGATGTGACCAGGGGAAAGAGAGAGAGAGAGTCTGGTGTTATTTGTTGCCACCGGTTTAAAGGAAATTATATTTTCCTAAGGGACTTGAGAAAAGCAAAGCCTCTGTCTTCTGATGACCTTATTTTAGTCAAGCCTCCTGTAGAATACAAATACTGGATTGAAAACTTATTTGCACGTGAGACTGAAACATCTTGCAAGCAGGTTGTGTTCCAGGAAGGAGAGTAGATGCTCATGAAACATAGCTGCTTTTATACTGCAGAGCCCTGTCAAGGATTTCTGAATCCCCTCTGCTGAAAACTCTAGGCCCATAATCCATCTGTCACTTCCGTCTTAAAAACTGGAGTCCTTTAACTGATAATAACGGTGGATTCCGCATGAGACCTTAAACCCTGGCTCCCCGAACTTATATTCTACACTACACGCAAGTTCACCCCCGTAATTATCTCTTGTCCTGGGATAAACGGATGCTGTTATAACCAGGGATAAATGACAGGTCTTGTGTCGCGAGTTGAGCTCTGATAAAACCAGGGATGAGATCCAAGTGCGGAAAGCACCAATGAGTAGCACTGATTTCCTCAAATCTCACTAATTTCTAATTGACTCTTAACTCTTCCTCCCGTCCACACAGAAAGATCGCCAGTCCTCTCCTTTGCCTAGACCATCTTCCACAGAACGCTGCCGCCTGTCGTTCTGCAGTCACTCACGGAAGCAGTGAGGTGAGGCTGGCTAGGGTTGCCAACCTCAAGGTGGGGGCTGGAGATCTCCTGGAATTACAACGAGGATTGCCAGCTACAGGTTGGGAAATACCTGGAATTCTGGGGGGTGGAGCCTGAAGAAGGTGTGGCTTGAGGAGGGGAGTGGCCTCGACAGGATATGATACCATAGGTTCCACCTTCTAAAGTGGCCATTTTCTCCAGGGGAACTGATTTCTTTCACTTGGAGGTCCGCCGTAATAGTAGGAGATCTCCAGCCAACACCTGGAGATTGGCAACCCTAATTACAACTGATTGGGGTTGCCAGGACCCCTCGGAGGGACCCCCACTGATCAGCTGGCCGACGGAGAAGGGCTTACCCGGAAAAAGAGCGAGGCCCAGGCCCCTGCCACACCGGGGGGGGGGGAAGGTACAGCCAAAGTGCAGCTTTTTAAAGCCGCACCAAAAGAAACATGCGGCGGTGGGATCACATAGATCCCCTGGGCCGCTGCACAGTTCCTCGCCGGCACGATCAGATGCCGGGGGGGGGGAAGCTACTGAAGGGAGGGCGAGGCTGCTGAACTGCGCATGTGTGCGCGTGCGCAGTTCGGCCGGGAGCCTGGATTGCTCCGGACGACGAGCGCGGTGGCAATCCCACATTCCCTCTCCCGGGGCCAAAATCTTCCGTGTGACCGGGGCCCCAGTTGACGTTGTGGCAATGGGTCTACATCACTTCTACCACACCCTGGAAGTGACGTCCTCACGTGGCGTTTGGGCAAAACCTCTCTGGAAGAAGCCAGTCTTACCATAGAGCTTTTGCCCAAGTACCAGAGCGTCACCCTGAAAGCACTGCACAATGGTGTCACCTCTGGGACATGTTGGAAGTGACGTAGACACATTGCTGCCATGTCAGCTGGGCCTCCCTCCCGCTCCTGGTAAGTCCCCCTCCTTGCACCCCCTCTTGCCCTGCAACTGGAGGAGGAGGAGGAGGAGGAGAAGAGACTGGATTTATACCCCTGCCCTTCACTACCCAAAGGAGTCCCAGAGCGGCTCACAAACTCCTTTCCCTTCCCCTCCCCACAACAGACACCCTGCGAGGTAGGTGGGGCTGAGAGAGCTCTTGACAGAAACTGCTCTTTTTCAACAACAGCTCTAACAGAACTACGGCTTGCCCAAGGTCATCCAGCAGCTGCAAGTGGAGGAGTGGGGAATCAAACCTGGTTCTCCCAGATTAGAGTCCGCGCACTTCACCACTACACCAAACTGGCTCTACACCAAACCACTACACCAAACCACTACACCAAATGGATCTACAGGCCACAGAGACCAGTTCCCCCAGAGTAAATGAAAGCTGTGGAGAGTGGACCCTATGCCATAACATTCCTTCTGAAAGCAGTCCAAATCAGAGTTTTCGAATTCCAGTCACGGGCTTTCCACATCAGTCTGTCCTAAGGTGCCTTGGCTACATTACAGCAGTACGGCAGCATCTGCTTCTGCTTGGCTTCGTTCTGTGGAGATGGATGTGTGGTTTCAAGGCCAAGGACCATACGGACAAGGCCAGGGGTGGCCAAACTGTGGCTCGGGAGCCACATGCGGTTCTTTCACACGTATTGTGTGGCTCCCGCTACGGTGGCTGGGGAAGCAAAGGGGAGGCGTGCCTCCCCGACTGGTCTTCCCTTCCCCAGCCAGTGCAGAGAAAGAAAGCGATTTGAGCTTTAAATGCATTCTCAACCCCCCCCACCCCCCACTAGCCAGCTTGGAGAAGGCATTTGTCTCTTTAAATCCCTGAAAGAAGCAAGCTAGCCAGTGGGGGGCGGGGCGGGGGGCCCCTGGAGGACACATTTAACGTTAAAGTTGCTTTTTTCCCACCTCTCCCTCCCTGCCCCATCTATTTGCTTTCTTTCCACCTTCTTTCTTTCCACCTTTCTCTCTCTCTTTCTCCCCTCCCTCCCCCATCTATTTGCTTTCTCTCCACCTTTCTTTCTCTCTCTCGTTCTCCCCTCCCCCCTTCTAACATTATCTATTTAACATTAATAAAAAGCAGATTTGCATATTTCCCAACAAAAACGCGTATGATGTTTGTTCATGTCTTGTGGCTCTCAAACATCTGACGTTTATTCTGTGTGGCTCTTATGTTAAGCAAGTTTGGCCACCCCTGGACAAGGCCAGCCACACGAGACTCTCCTGCCTAGAGTTGCCAACCTCCAGGTGGTGGATGGAAATCTTCTGCTATGACAACTGATCTCCGGGCGACGCAGATCAGTTCCCCTGGAGAAAATGGCCGCTTTGGAAGGTGGACCCAAGGGCATTATGCTTCCTTGAAGCCCCTCCCCTCCCCAAACCCCGCCATCCTCAGGCTCCACCTCCAAAACCCACCCAGACAGGGCCAGGTCTTTAAATGGTTTCAGCGGGGAGCCATATTGGCCTGCAGTGGAACAGCTCGATTTCAGTTCAGTAGTGCCTTAGAGAGAGAGAGAGAGCAACAAGATTTGGGGGGATACGGGTTTTTGAGAGTCACAGCGCTAACAAAGGGAGCTCTCCAAAGCTTATGATCCCCAAAGTCTTGTTGATCTCTTAAGTTGCTACTGGACTCAAATCCAGCAGGTCTTTAAATATTACGGCAGCGCGACGGGATGAGCTGCAGAAAAGACGCCAAAACTGATGCTGCCGCCGCCGCCGTGTCAAAACAGCACCCACCTTTGTGTTTATTCCAGTTGTTCCACATTCTGTACTTCCCTAAGCGGTAAGAGGTGTCAGGAGTGATTTTCACACAAAGGCAGTTCCTGTATGAGGACTCTGAGAGAATACTAACGACATGTGTGGGCGCTTTCACCCATGCTAAATAATGCCGCTTCAATCCACGTCAGAGACCGTTTGCAAGTGGATTTTGTCATTTTGCACAGTCAAATCCAGTTGCAAAGTGCACTGAAAGCAGACTGAAAGTGCGTTACTTAGGGTGTGTGAAAATGCCCTGCCACCAGTGTTCCCTCTAAGCTGAGTAAGTGTGAGCTAGCTCACAGTTTTTTAGCCTCCAGCTCACACATTTTCGTCTTAGCTCAGGAAGGAGGGCTCCAGAGCAAACTAATTTATGCAGGAGCCAAATCGCTGGCTCACAACTTTAATGTCAGCAGCTCACAAAGTAGAATGTTTGCTCCCAAGACTCCACAGCTTAGAGGGAACATTGCCTGCCACGTGGGTCTTTTTGTAACATCTAGGCTTTTCTTACTTCGTATACAGCTAGGCGAAAGGGAAATTCGGGTAGGTTGAACAGCAAAAGTAATCGATACATAAGAGCAGTCTTCCGATAGCATGCCCTTCAAACACCCTGTGATGCGCCTTTTCCCTTTTCTTTTATATGCACCCATAGGTGAAAAAGTCACTGTGCAACTGATTTTCGGTCTACGGCTTCCACCTCAAAGTTAGGTTTTTTTCTTCATTTCACCTTGAACGGCTCTTAAGGTACCCTCACAAATTTCTACTATCGGTACTTTATCAGCAACTTCCAATGGACTTCTAGTCTCCCCAGGAAGACCCATTTACAGTGTACACCGGGGGTCCCCAACCTTCCTGAGCCTGTTGGGTACATTTGGAATTCTGACACAGGATGCTGGGCACAAAATGGTTGCCGCAGATGGTGGCGCCAACCACAAAATGGCTGCTTCGGGAGGTGGAGCCAACCAAAAAAGGTAAGGGAGTGAGGTCACGCATGACTCTAATAGTAGGACTTCAACATTTTAGACTCAGACTCTGCTTAACTGGATGCCTTTTTAAATGAAAACATTGTTTACAATTATTTTCTTGCATACACACAGCTTACTTTCGGTCACACGAGGAGGACCCTTGTGCTGTGGTGGCGGCGGCTGCCAAAACAAGTTCTTTAAAAATCTGTACAGCCAATCACATCTTCAATGGCCAGTCAGAAACCCTACACTGCAAAGGTCCCATCCACCCCCACCCAGTTTCTAAAACAACTGGCAGGCACCCGGAAAGGTGTGTGGGGGTGTCACGGCCCCCACGTTGGGGACCCATGGTCAGTGAGCTTAAAATTGGCATAGCTCTGTTCAGAACTGCTTTGTAAAAACTTGAAAAGAAATGCTTCATAGTTCAGGAATGGCACTGACCCCATCTAAGATCTGAAGATCAGACTATAAGAAGAGAAGAAGGAGATTGATTTATACCCCACCCTTCACGCATAAGAACATAAGAACATAAGAGATGCCAATGTTAGATCAGGCCAATGGCCCATCCAGTCCAACACTCTGTATTACACAGTGGCCAGAAATACCAGTGCCATCAGGAGGTCCACCAGTGGGGCCAGGACATTAGAAGCCATCCCACTGTTGACCCCCCCAAGCACCAAGATGACAGAGCATCACTTGCCCCAGAGTCCCTATCTATCCCTTGTGGCTAATAGCCACTGATGGACCTCTGCTCCACTCGCTCAGAGCGGCTTACAATCTCCTTTCCCTTCCCACAACAGACACTGTGATGATTTCATGTTTTGGTGTGTGTGCTTCTTTAAATGTTTAGTGTGACTGCAGTAATGACAGGAGAAAAAACGGTAGGCATTCCCTCCCCTGTGAAATATGTGGCCCTAGGTAGGTTAATTAACTACTACAAATAATAGTAGTACAGTTGTAAACCGCTCTGAGACCCCTTAGGGGTCAAGGGCGGTATATAAATCAAATGTAAATAAATAAATAAATAAATAAATAAATAAAGGTCACACCAGCAGCTGCATGCGGAGGAGTGGGGAATCAAACCTAGTTCTTCCAAGTTAAGAGTCTGCACTCCTAACTACTACACCAAATTGGCTCTTGATAAAGCATGCACATGTGTTTGTAGTTTTTATCCTTGGAATGTGGGGAGTTATGAAAACGCAGAAAAAAGAGCACTCTCCTCCACCATAACTGTATGTTCTCAGTTTACAGGGTGGGGAAAGGCCAGAATAGGATTTAATTCACTGCTCCGTCAACCTGAAACTGATTTCTCACAATGATTCAAAAACGGGTATCTTGCACCCACGTTAAACCAGAAGAGCACACAAAATGGACTTTTGCCTGTTAAACTAAAGCACCATCTTGTACTTGACACATGAACCAAGTCAACATAAGAGACGCCAATGCTGGATCAGGCCAATGGCCCATCTAGTCCAACACTCTGTCACACAGTGGCCAAAAATACCAGGTGCCATCAGGAGGTCCAGCAGTGGGGCCAGAACTCCAGAAGCCCTCCCACTGCTAGAAAAGATCCAATGACTGCAAAATATGTAATAAAACGGTAATAATAAAATATGTGTTAGGCACAAAGGATCCTGCTGATGTAACGGGCTCACATCTGAACACACATAAAGTCGCCTATACTTAATCAGACCATTGGTCATCAAGGTCAGTATCATCTACTCAGATGGATCCAGGTGGTCAGCCCTGTCGGTCTGAAGCAGTAGAACAAAGTTAGAGTCCAGTGGCACCTTTAAGGCCCACAAGGTATGAGCTTTTGTGTGCATGCACACTTTTTCAAATACTGTGGAATGGTAGGCAAGCTTCAGACTTATAGACAGGGGGCTGGACAGCAAATTGACATGTAGCATGATGAAGATGTGCGAAGACAAAACTAGAGAAGAAGCTGAGGTTATAAGGTCAACAGCTGTAAAGCAATAAATATGTCAAAATAGCAGATAAATGCGTAAAGGTGTCTTTTCTAAAATCTCTAAATCTACTCAGATGGGCGTCTCAGGCTGAGCTCTTTCACGCCATCTACTGCCCAGTCCTTTAAACTGGAGATACCAGGGATTGAACCTGGGGCCTTCTGCATGCGAAGCAGAGGCTCTTCTGCCGAACCACACCTCAGTGGTGGGGTTTTTAAAAAAATGTTTATTTGTACATTTTCTATTACATAAAATAACAAACAGAGTAATACATATACATTTATTGGAAGTACGAGAGGCCGAGCGCCGAGGAATAGATTCTTTTGAACTATGGTGCTGGAGAAGACTCTTGAGAGTCCCTTGGACTGCAAGAAGATCAAATCAGTCAACCCTAAAAGAAGTCAACCCTGACTGTTCCCTGGAAGGCCAGATAATGAAACTGAAGCTCAAAGACTTTGGCCACCCAATGAGAAAGGAGCACTCACTGGAGAAGACCCTGATGCTGGGAAAGATTGAAGGTCAAAGACGGAGGGGACGGCAAAGGATGAGATGGTTAGACAGTGTCATAGAGGCAACGAACATGACATTGAGCAAACTTCAGAGGACAGCGGAAGACAGGAAGGCCTGGCGTGGCCCATGGGGTCGCGAAGAGTCGGACTCGACTGTGCGACTGAACAACAACAAACAAATGGAAGATCGTCTAACATTTTTTTCCCACCCAGTTATAAACTTTCTGCCATCTATTTTGAAAAGTTGTTTCATCTTTTCCTGAGTCGTATTCAGTTTATCAAATTCAGCTTTTTCAATAATTTTATCCCTTAGCTCTTCTTTATTGGGTATCGTATCCTTTTTCCATTGTTTTGCAATTAATATTCTCGACAGGGTAAGTATATACAGTAT